TGATCATTAATCATAGGAAAGTCATACCACCAGCCTGTTACTGTGCTGGACGGTGTGTGGCTTCATAGCAAAGTGGACCATGTCCTAAAATGGCTGGAGTATAAATGAGCCTTTGTGAAACACATCAGTATATATAGACATGGTAGGCACAGGAGTGCAGAATGACTTGATTAAGGTCACATGCGAGGTCTGTGTCAAAAACATTATTGCTCATCTATCTCCCTAGTCCTTGTACACAGTCATAGCTTTAGAGTGTGCCTTCTTGCTACAAATACAAGCACTGAATTTGTAGTCAGTCATACATCTCATAAGCTATGGCATTGTCTCATGATTTCATTTCAAAGTATGTCTTTGTTTTGGGAAATCACATCATATGTTATTTCTAAACATGTTTGTTATCTGGTTCTAACAGCTCAGTCTCTCTGAGTTTTTCATGGTTTCATGCATTCCGTGTTACTTTTAAAAAATAAGTTGTGTACCTTTTTTTTTTTTTTTTCTCTCACTGCAAAACAGATTTGCAGTGCAGTTTCCAATGCATGTGTGGACATGTCCTTGATTGCATGAGGGCAATTAATACCCTGTCATGAATGCTGATTCACCCAACATGGCCCATAAAAACAATGACTCACTTTTCCAATGGGCACCAGCTTTCCCGAAACATTCATTCCTCAAGCTATTTCTCCCTGTGTGGCAGCCTACAAGGTTCAACATTCCTGCAAGGAGTATGTGGGAAGGGGACATTGTGCGGAGGAATGTGCTGACTTTGTCACTGGGATTTCTCCATATGGAGCAACTACTCTGTATCCCAGTCTGTTATACAATTCTCATTCCCCCCAGTTCTGTCAGGGCTGTATGCATACCCATGCATTACTGCAAAGGCTTCAGGCAATAACTGCTGTCTCAAGTTAAGGTCAATCAATACAGCTGAACTGTTGATGTTTAATTAGAGGTAACTGATGCTTTTGTCTGGAATGGGTTTGGTTGAATATAGTTTTCAAATACCCCTTCAGAATTATTGTTCCGCTAGTTTTCAGTTCACTGTTGTGCACCGGGCCTTCTGTCCTCTTGACAGGATGGGTGGTGACAGCTAAAACACTGCTTTACTTTGTCAACACTGCGATTCCCCCCCCACATTATACAAGAAGTTCAGAGGTTGTTATTTTCCACGCCAGTGCATCTCATCCCTCATGACAAAGGGCCACGAGACACCGTATTCATCTTATGAATACCTTGCTATAGCTCCTTTTTCTTTTTTTTCCTCTCTCCAGTGAACTCATTCTGGGCTGTTTGCTTCTGCTCACCACACAGTAATAAAAGGCCCATTTGCTTCTGTGTTCATCCTGTGTAGTACTTTTTTTACCAGAAAATACGCTGTATGAAATGCACTGAGTCTAAAAGAATTTTAGCAAAGATTGTGACAACACTCTAACTTGAAAATTTTCAGCTTTTAAGAAAAACTGAGTTTGTACATTATACTAAAATTTAAGAAGCAGGAATATTTTCCTTAGATTTTCTTACCCCTATGCTTGTTGATAGCTTTGCTAAAGAAGAGTAGTACTTGAAAGAGGCGTTAAGGAACCAGTAAACTCACTAGCACACTGATTTCCACTGTAGTAGGTCAGTTGTAGTCTGATTTTCAGTAACAGGCAGCATCTAAATCCATACACAACTGCATCATTACACCAGGTATGTCCAGTCTTGATGCCTTCAGTGCTTACTCTGGGGTCCATAAATCCTTGCAGAAAGAGCTCAAAAGCAGATTGTTGTACTTCTGTGTTTAATAAAAGGGGTCCAATGTAATTTTACACAGATCCCCATAAATTCTTTTCAATGGTGACATGATATGTTTGTGATAGTTACACAGCACACTTAATGGATCGAGAAGTAACACCTGTAACTAACAAGTGACTCTTATCTAACAAAGTTGTTTACATGCTGAAAAAAATAGAGTAAGAATGTAATCTTAGAAATCTGTATTTTGAAGTGAGACTCATATTTGTACTAAAATAAAAGACAAGTATCTCTTGTCTTCAGAGACAATTCAGAAGCATAAGCTCTACTTGGATCTCATCCAGCTTCACAATTACTAAAAATTATCCTTCAGGAAGTTGTGTGTTGTGGCATACACCCCACAAAGAAAAGTAAGTTGTAGCTGCCAAATTAAGGAGCAGATTTCACTCCTTTTACTCACCTTCACTGACCTGCTATCCAAGATCTTTCTTCAGTCATATTTTCGAAGAACATAATTTTAGTTGGTACAACGAAGGGGCTGCAGAAAGAGGATCGAGCAAAGAAAACCTTCAGCCCAATATTACCCTTTTACCGTTACTTCAGAGCGCTCTGCTCACACTTGCCAATTCACAGCGGATCTCCTATTAATTACCGCGAATTAGCTAGTTGTGGCTGCTCAATTTCGGCTCATTCTAAATGTTTTTACAGTTTACATCGCTAATTATTGAGAAGCCTCATTAGAAGGCAGCAGGTGCGACAGGGAGCGCACCTCCTGTCACCGCGGTGCGGCGGGGGGCGGGCGGCGGGCGCGGGACG